ACTGAGGAGGGCACCTGTTGGGATGAGCACTAGGTGTTGTATGGAAACCAATTTGACAATAAATTATATTTAATAAAATTTAAAAAAACAGAATATAGTAGAAGGCAATGAGGAGATGGTAGTAAAGGGCAACATGAGAGAATTTTGTGGTGATGGAGCTGTTCAATATCTTGAATGTGGTGGTGGATACATGAACCTGTGATAAAACTGTATAGAACTTAAAACACACCTCCCCCCACAAACTAGTACAAGTAAAATTATGGAATTCTGAATAAAATCCATGGATTTTAGAAATGCCAATATCCTGATTGTGATATTATACTGTAGGTTTGTAAAATATTACCACTTCAGGAAAGTGGGTAAAGGATACATGAGACCTATCTGTATTTTTTGTTAAACGGCAAGTAATTATATAACTATCTCAATAAAAAATTCAATTAAAATATCAACAGAATATTCATACTACCAACACTGACTTTGAAACACATTAGTGATATTGTATAGAAACATAAGAAGGTATTTTTAGTCATTCAAAGCTGAATTTGTTATAGTGGAACTGGCAGAGGTCTTACCCGTAAAATTAAAATTTTTTAAATTATGACTTTAACCCAGAGATGATAATTTTGAACAGCTATTGGTGACATAATACTATAAGAATGAGAGTCAGATCACCCTAGCCATGCAAAAGGTAAATCAGATGGAAAAAAAGAATCAGGAAGAAGAAGAAAAAGATCTTTCTGAACTAGAACAAAGAGCTGTTTAAGAATGCCATTTCAAAACATCAACTGACATAATACTGGAAGTGTAAGCCAGTAGGACAATTAATGAACTATGGTGATAGTCATGAAATGCACCAAGAATTGTCTAACAATAACACTGAGCATAACAGCTGCTATCTACCAAGCACATACTATGCACCTGGCATTGTGCTGGCTGCTTCACATAAGCGATCAAAAATCTTCATAATAAGTCTGGAAAGTAAAATGTGGAAAATGATGGATCCTATGGAACTTACTCAAGATTACATAGTTTGAAAGTCCCAAAGGTTGACTTTAAAGCTAGGGTTTTCTTGGGGCGCCTGGGTGGCGCAGTCGGTTAAGCCTCCGACTTCAGCCAGGTCACAATCTCGCGGTCCGTGAGTTCGAGCCCCGCGTCAGGCTCTGGGCTGATGGCTCGGAGCCTGGAGCCTGTTTCCGATTCTGTGTCTCCCTCTCTCTCTGCCCCTCCCCCGTTCATGCTCTGTCTCTCTCTGTCCCAAAAATAAATAAAAAACATTGAAAAAAAAAAAATTTAAAAAAAAATTTAAAGCTAGGGTTTTCTGATTTTAAAGCTTGTGTGCTATCTGTTGCTCCATAGTACATAGAGAAGAAATACCTTTTATTGCTATTCTAGTACATGACTCTAGGGTGAAAGAAAAAAATTATATCCAGTAGTGAAAAACTGTAATTGATATCACACTTACCTGCTTGTAAGTTCCATCTAGCAAGGTGTCCAGGTGTTGGAGGGGGGCAGGTGTTTTATCTTTGAACCTTGTTAATAGTCGGCGTTGAATGGCCCGAAATTGTACAGCTCTTTCAGATAACAGTTCTTCTAATTTCTCACCATTTATCCGCAACTACAATAAAGAATTTCTTAAATTCAGGTTACATGTGTACAAGAAAACATTTTTAAAGCAAGAATACAGGCAATGGCAATTAAAGTTTGAAAGACAGTAATAACAGAAATTTAAACATATTACAGAGTTAAGAGAATTAAAACTATAATATTTGGTACATGAATAGATAGATACATAGATCCTACACAGACAACAGAGTAGGACAGGTCAAGTGGAAACTCAGTAAAGATAACCCAGTATCACTGGGGAAAATACAGATTATTTAATAAATGTCTTGTAATAACTGATTAAATACATGAGAAAAAAGAATAAGAATTTCTCTTCTAGTCCTTAGAGTAAAATCAGTTGGAATAAGTTTAGACACAATAAAAGAACTAGAAAAATTAGAATTTTTCAATAATCTTGGCATGAAAGAGACCCTTCTAAGTCAAAAGCCAAAAGCCAGGGCACCTGGGTGGCTCAGTCGGGTAAGGTTTAGGTAATGATCTCACGGTTCGTGGGTTTGAGTCGTGCATCAGGCTCTGTGCTGATGGTGTAGAGCCTGCTTGGGATTCTCTCTCCGTCCCTCTCTCTCTGCCCCTCCTCTGCTTTATATCTCTCTCTCAAAATAAATAAATAAACTTAAAAAAATTAAAAACACAAAAAAGCCAAAAGCCAGACACACACATACTCACACCTCTGATAAATTTGTAACTAAAAAAGAAAAAAAGTAATTCTATATAGTTAAAAAAAGAAACATAAGTGACAAGACAGAGAGCAAACTGTAAAAATAATAGCAATAGCCACACAGACAAAAAGTCAAGCCCATAATAGCTAGAGAGCATCTAAGAATCAATGAGAAAAAGACCAAAATCCAATACAAAATAGTAAGAAAAAGAGTATCAAGCCAATAGGGAAAAAAAAAGGACAAAATTTATAGAAAAGCTAATACATATAGCTCTCAGACATATACCTTTGATCTACCAAGTCCATTTCTAGGAATTTATCCTAGGGGTATACTTGCAAAACATAATGTACATACAAGTCTATTCATTATAGAATTATTTATTATAGTATTATAGTAACATATTAATAATAATCAAAATACTCATCAATAGGGGGACAGGTTAAATAATAAAGACTACTTTGCAGGACTACTAATTACTGATATGCAATGTTATACAAAGATACAGTGACTGAAACAAAGCAAAAAAATATAGAATAGTATTATAATTTGTTACCATTCATGAATTTTTAAAAAAGAAATCTGTACATTAACATAGTTGAGACTGCATAGAATAGTTCTAAAAAGATAAACAAGAAACTGAACACCAAAAGTTTCTTCCAAAGAGACTGAGTAGCAGGAGGAGGAGAATCAGAAATAGACTCTTTTTACTGTGACTCTTCTTAAAACCCCTGAGTTTAATATTATTAAAATAAAAGAAAGCTAATCAGGGCCATAGGGTAGAAGAAACACTCCATGAAATCATATTATGTGAACTGCTAATTCCACTTTACAAAACAGTCAAAAACTAGTCCTGAAATAAACAGCATTTTCAAAGTGTTCAGAAATCAAGCTTTTACAGTATACATTTCTCATATCCAACTTCCCTTGCAAGTGTATGTATTCTCCAGACACGTGATTTAAAAAAAAAAAAAAAAAAAGGGCCTGAAATTTTATTAATGTCTTTTAGTTACAATTTCAGAAGCACTAAGTAACTAACTAAATCACAGAATATTCTCTTGAAGGGAAAAAAACTTTTCATTACCAAAAGTTAAATGATAATTTTTTAAATAACTGAATTTTTTAAAAAGAGGATTAGCTTAATTATCAATAATTCACTCTTTTAATTGTATAATTTCCAGCTATATTTTATTCATTACATTCATGAAACACAAGAAAAATTATAAAAGACATGAAATTTCAATACTGACACATCATCCAAGTTATCATTCCACTGAATGTATAACCAAACATCAGTGATTGAATTGTTTTCATATGTCAGAATTAACAAATATTATTGATCCCAAGGCCAAGCACTGTTCTAGGTGCTAGAAATTATAGCAATGAATAACACAGACAAAAAATTCTTGCCTTCATGGAGCTTACACTAAGGGACACTTGGATTCCAAAAACTATCTTGATTCAAAGATTAAAATCATGTATTTTTTAAAAAAGCAGAGAGCAGGGCCAGAGAGAAAGGAAGTATAATGATGCTCCTTTTAAACTGTATGACAAATGGAAGTGCCTGTAGTTCATCATGTTCCCTAAATCCCTCCCCAGAAAGGAAACGCCCCTGATGTGGAATCTGCAGGGGCTTACTAGACAGCAATGAAGGGGCGAAACTGTGTCAAACTTATAGCCATTCAGAATCTAATATTTTCTGTTTTAAGTACTACAAATATGTAATTAATATGGTCTTTTTGTAGACCCTTCCATAAACCACTAGATCCCAGTTTTGCACAGTAAAGCAAGAATTTTTAAAATATATCTTTAAGGGGCGCCTGGGTGGCGCAGTCGGTTAAGCGTCCGACTTCAGCCAGGTCACGATCTCGCGGTCCGTGAGTTCGAGCCCCGCGTCAGGCTCTGGGCTGATGGCTCAGAGCCTGGAGCCTGTTTCCGATTCTGTGTCTCCCTCTCTCTCTGTCCCTCCCCCATTCATTCTCTGTCTCTCTCTGTCCCAAAAATAAATAAACGTTGAAAAAAAAAAAATTAAAAAAAAAAATATATATATCTTTAATAAATAAATTAAATAAAATAAATCCTAGAGGACTGCAAAGGATCTCAATCCTTACAATACCTAAATATATTCCTCAAAAGGTCAGTTTTGGTGCCGTGATTTGGTCAAAAGCACACTGTCCTATAAAATATTATCAGCATAGGTGAAAGAGAACCCAAGTAAGCTCAATTTATTTGATAATGACAAATGTTATTCGTAATTGCATTCTACGCACTAAAATTTTCCCTGTATTTTCACACTATACTAAAAGAAGTCTTTATAGGTTAAAGTCAGTGTTCTTAGAATGCCTGAGGGACTGAACATTAAGTAGAATGAATGTTCATGTGACTGACAAGTTACATGACATATTCTTTCTCTCTATCACACACAGTCACACATCATAGTTTATAAACTGAAGTGCAAAAACCTATTGATTACTTAAAAAGTAGTTACTCTAGAGAACCAATGCTTCCATAAATAATGCTCAAAATACTTTTGAAATCCCCCTTTGTAATCACCTACAGAGCCTATTTATGGGCACATAAGTATTTGAACCTGGTGATTTTTTTTTTTTTTAACACATGAGATTTTTAAAACAATTTCATTATCTAATTCATTCACAAGACATGACTCTTGGCTATTTCCAAATATCAAATCAGTCTTCAAAGGATGAAGATTTTATACCATCATGATACTCAAAATAATCTAATGCAGGCTCTGAAGGTACTTCCAAAGAAGAAATGCAAAAATATTCTGGCTACAAAGTCACTGTCAGATCTCATTTGTTTAAACATTTAATCATTCAGCATTTGCTAAGTGCCCATTGTGCCAGATACTGAAGAATATTTTATGTGGTTAACCCTCATTCAGATGCAGAAATTCTGGTGTGCTTGTTAAAAGGAAAAGGAAAAATCACTTTACTTTATAATCACACCTCATTTATGGCCTGCTAGAATTAGTTAGCCAAATGGCTGCCGATAAGCTCAAATAGTTTTAACACTGGGTTATTGGGGTCAAAGGTTAAGTCTCCATGTGGGAAAATTAAGTCTGCTTGTTCTGAAGCCAGACCACATGCTTAGCTCTGGGCAGGCACTCTGTTAAGGTCTGCAAGTGATCACAAAATGGGCAAGAGGGCAGGAACAGATACACAAAGTCTATCATCCACATAAAATAACTACTTGAAGCACTCAATCTACTAGCATATATACTAGAATTCTTTCCTCTAGCATCTCTTTCTCTTCCATATATTGAAAAATTATAGACAATATGAGTTATGATCATACATACCTCAAAATGATGATCAATCAACTCAAAATATTCTTGAAGGGGCATACTTCCAGAAAAAGAACATGCAAAATCTTTGATTCCCTGTTTTTCAAAATATTCTTGAAGGCGGATAATAAGTTCATTTGTTATGAGCCAAAGATCTTCAAACTGTTCACTCTGAATGCGGTATCGTTCTAAGAGAGAAAAAATGCTTATTAACACATAATTACTAGCTGAAACTACATGATTATCACTAACTCTGACATGAATACCCAAATAAAAAGGAAAAGATTGGGGGAGGGGGGGCTATAGATAGGATTTCTACTGCTTTATTGCAGTTTTCTACATCAACCACATAACATTTAATTTAAGTCCAAAGGTATGTGGTCACAGTGACAAGGTGTAGAGTATGGTCCTTTTCCCTATGTTTCTTATAGGTTTCAATAACAACACCCAAATTAGGGTCCTTCTTTAAAAAACAAAAAAAGGAAGAAAATAAGAAAGCTTTGTTTACAAGGTAAAAAAAAAAAGCCATTGCAAAAGTATAATCTGGTATTTATTAATTTGTTTCAGAATATTGTTGTGAAATAAAACTTACTATGCAGAAAGTCCCACATCCTGGACATTGTAGCCTGCTAAATCACCATAATCATGATCAAAGTTTTCTACTTTTCTAATATTTCTTTTATTTATATTTGTAATCAGTCCCTTCCCTAAATGTAAATCTTGTTTGCCTCCATTCGCTGAAACCTCAGCTCAAAAACAGTCAAATTCTTGTCCATCCCCCACGCTAATTTGACAATGATGACAGTGATAACAGTGGTGGCAGTAACTACATCTATGATCAGAGCAACTGTTATTTGTTGAGCACCAACTATGAACCAAGCACTGTGATTACAACAACCCCGTTTTTAAAAAAAGGAAAACTAGGCACAGAGAACTTCAGAGACAGGTCACAAAGCATATTAAACGTCAGAGCTAGAATTCATGATATACTGCATATTCTTTTTCCCCACCTGTCTAAATCCTACCTATTCTTCAGGACCTGGCTTCAATCCTACCTACCCCAAGAAATCTTTATTTCTCTAGCACTCACAGCAGCCTACTATGTGTTAGGCACTGCATTGAGCACTCTGCATTCAAAACTCAACACCCTTATGGGGGAAGTCTTGTTATCCCCATTTTACAAAAGAGTTTAAATAATCTGCAAGATCATCTAGCCACATAGTAAGAATAGAACTCTACAGCATAGCATAGCAAGAATTAGAACTCTAGCTATTAATCCAAAGATTAGCTATTAATCTTAACCACCTCACAATATTGTGCCTCTTTAAATTCATATATACACTTAGTCTACAGTTCACCATGCACTTAACCACATACAACTATGCATTTTTTAATTAACATTTATTTTATTTTTTTAATTTTTTTTTATTTATTTATTTTTGAGACAGAGAGAGACAGAGCATGAATGGGGGAGGGTCTGAGAGACAGGGAGACACAGAACCTGAAGCAGACTCCAGGCTCTGAGCTGTCAGCACAGAGCCCGATGCGGGGCCCAAACTCACAGACCGGGAAATCATGACCTGAGCCGAAGCCAGACGCTTAACCGACTGAGCCACCCAGGCGTCCCTAATTAACATTTATTTTAGAACAGTTTTAGATTTACAGAAAAATTATGAAGATAATAGAGTTCCCACACACCCTTCACCCAGTTTCCTCAATTATTAATATCTTACATTATTATGATACATACTTATGTATGACTATGATTAATGATGAATACAATACACTGTAATTATTAACTAAAATTAATGGATTACAATAAGTTACATGGATTACACCAATTGGTTTTCAAGGTTGAATCAATATTGCATACCTGGAATAAATCCAATTTGATTGTGGCATATACTTTTTCTATTCCTATTTAACTCTCCAGATGATTATATTCCATTTCTCCAAGAGATTATACACTTTTTGAGATCTAGAACCAATTCCTCTATTCTATTTAATTCACCAGTTATTGAGCATCTATTATGTACAATCACATGGAGAGAATTGTTGGGAGTACAAGGAGGCATTCAATCTCCTTGTGTAAGGAGACTAAGATATTACTAAGTTAGCATGACATGTAGACATATGAAATATTTGTTACATTCCCCATGGTCCTTGACAAATTCTATGAATATATGACACCTTTAACTTGGTTATTAGGACTTCAATTTATCATCCTCCACCAGAATCCAAAAATATATCTCCTCTCATTCTCCTAGTCATCTCTCTTTCAATATATTCAACATGAGGAATAAAATACACTGTGTATGCCTGCCATAGTGCATGGCAAATACCCCGATGTTCTCTGCTACCATATCATTTCCTCTGGAGCGTCCTTCTGCCCTGCTTTCACCCTAGTATTATTCTGAAGTCTGATTTCTGCCTATGGTGCTAATCGGTTGGTTTCATTTCTCCCCATCAAAGATAATAGGGCCATGGTCAAATAAAACAGCTTTTACCTTTCTTTGCAAGTGTCACTGAATGCTCAATGCTCTAAGAATGGAGAGAGCACAACTGTGATGGCGTGGGAGTAAAGCGGTAAAAGGAAGAATGATGATAACAACATACGATATTACAATTCTCTAAATCTACGGTCCTATCCAAGGTAAGCTTGGGACCCAACATATTGAACCCAGACTGGTATTTATTCACTCTTTCATTCATTTATATAACTCAATGCAAGATGCAGGGGATAAAACCCTGGATAAAGCAAGAGCCTCTGCCCTTAAGGAGTTCACTGCAGACCTGGAAAGATGGGTGTTATTGGGGAAGAGTAAACACTGCTTTTACCATTACCGATTCAGGGATACCCCATGCAGGCTGATGTTGCCACAAAAGTGCCAGGACTTCCCCGCAAGTGATATGTTACTATTTCCAAGCATGTGAGAGCCTATCACATAGCAGAGGAATTAGACAATAGCAAGGGAGCGGCAAAGGGCAGAGAGCACAATAAGTATTGTGTAATAATTACAGATATCCATAGAATTAGCTGCCTCAGGAAACAGGGAACTACCTCACTCCAATGGAAGTGTTTAAGGATCCAAGCTCCCTGGTGTTTGGTATAGAACACAATGGGGAAGAAACACAGGTCATCTTCTCATGTACAGATCTCTCTATCTCTTCATCTGTCTTGGGACAGATATTTGGTACCAGCTCAGTGCTGCCTCCAGGTCCTGGCCATTTGTCCCTCCTAGGCAGACGTTTCACATCTGGCTCCAGGCCAACGCCCCAGGCTTCCCAGAGGAAGAAGCTGAACTGGGCCAGCTGCATCTCCTTTTACAGCTTTATGATCTCCCAAAACATTCGCTTCAGATTCTTCTGCAACAGATCTTGCTAGATGTGGTAGATGAAGGTGACAAAGTTGCACACTACAGTGATCCAGGCTAAGAAGATGGTGAGATGTAGGTGGGGCTCTCAAAGTGACAGAGCAAGATATGGTACTGGCAGGTGTGTGCACATAAGTCGGCACTGCCAAACTTTACTGTGTCCACTCTTACTGCAGCAGCATCCGCAGAGCCACAGGCTAGACGGTGAGCATTCACTGTCCTCCAGCTTACAACAGCATCAAGAACTTTTGCATTATAAAGTCCAGGCAAGGGCCCACATCCTCTGGGTACACCCTTCCAAGGAAGGAACAGGGCTTGTCCAGGATGAGTAATTCCCTCCAGGCATAGAATTCTGCAGAAAGGGTCATACCCATCTCCTTGTCCTCTTCGTCCAAGAAAAGGGCATATCTCACAGTGGGGCACACAGCCTGGCAGAGGGAGCTGCCGGTATTCCTGGCCTTTGTGGGGCCCAGGCTTAGTAGGGTTCAGCAGCTGCAGGTGGAGCTCATGCTTGGGATAGGCTGGGTGTGGACGTGATGACTGATGTCTTCAAGGATGTCACCTCCACCTGCAGCATGTCGATCCTGCCCCCTACTTGCTTCAGCAGTTTTTTCTGATGCCACCTACTTCATGTGAGCTTCTCACACCATCTTGTGGGCTTCCTCAGAGAGGATGGCCATCAGCCACACCTTCAGCTCCAGCTCCTGTTCCTGTGGTTCCCACACCTCCTACCACTGCTCATGGTCCTCATCTTTCAGATTCCGTTCCTTCTGGGTTATGTGAGCTCCTCCTTCAGGAGCTCAGAGCCCTGCCCTTCTTGTAAACCTCCATGGGGATCCTGTAAGAATATCTGCCACTAGTATTAGAGAAAAGCTCCCTCCAGGATTCATAATATTGAACAAGATCTTTACCACTCCCAGATTCTGAGATTCTGAAAGTGAAAGACACAGTGCCTTAATAGGCTCACTTCAGTAAAATTCATAAAATGGTGCCTGCCACAAAGTAAGGACTCAATAAATGTTACCTACTATCATCACTATCACTATTATTTCCCCCAAGAATATGTAAACTAGAGATTCCATCATAAACCCGATTAGACTCACACAGAACCTACTAACCCAGTAATTTTCAAATAGCAGATGTGAAAAAAGTGGCTTATATAAAATATATTTTCCTAAGCATAGAATTTGATGTCACTTTAGATACAGTTATAAATTTTTTATATAAACAGTACATTGCTAATATTTCAAAGGAAATTTAATTCATTCTGGTTCTAGAAAGATTCTGAAGAGGCTTGCACAAGCACGTAGAAAAACCTGAGGTGCAGCCTGAATGCACCTAAGGAATAAAATTTCTTATATAGAAAATGAAATAAAACTACAGAAAGAAAGTTATTCAAGTATCATTTTCCAATACAAATGTCACAACTTACGTATCTTAAAAGAGATATACATAAACAACTGGGATTATTATAACACATGTGAAAGAATTATATACTGGCCCAAGATATAAAAAAAATATATTTCAAGGTACCTGAATGAAGTGAAGGGGCAAACCACAGAGATGTCTGTGGGAAGAGCATTCCAAGACCAGGGAATGGCGAGCATAAAGGCCCCAAGGCAGCAATGTGCTTTCAGGAACCCTGAGGAAGCTATTATGGCTGCAGCTGAGTGAGCAGTTTGTATGCTGTGCTATAACAAGATTATCACACCAGTTTCTGTTAAATTGTCCCTAAAGGTATGGGCAAGAAAAGCTGGAAGCAAGGCATATTCAGGAATGACCAGGCAAGTCTGTCCCCCAAAGTTAGTGTGAAA